GTTTTTTCCTGAGACAGGGTATCACTCTATGGCCTGCTAGAATGCAGTGGTATCATCATATAGCTCACTCCTTCTTTAGCCTTCTGAGTAGCTGGGACTACAGGCACGCACCAAGATTCCTGAATAATTTTTAAATGCTTTTTTAGAAAAGGTGTCTCACTATGCTCCCCAGGCTGGTCTGGAACACCTGGCCTCAAGTGATCCTCCAGCCTCAGCCTCCCAAAGTGCTAGGATTACAGGTTGAGCCACTGAACCTGGCCATAAAATGACTCTTGTCAAGGGTATAACTCTGCACTCCAGCCTAGGGTGACAGAGTGAGATCCTGTCTCAAAAAAAAAAAAAAAAAGTGGTGAGAGCAGAAACACTTGAGCATATTAGAGAGAGAAGACCTTAGGAAATAGAATATATCTGTTCCAACTAATCAGTCAAGTGAAGGTTAGGATAAAAGAGCTTCAACATTAGTTTGTATATCTTTGTATAGAGAAGAAAGGCCAAGCGTGGTGGCTCACACCTATTATCCTAGCATGAAAGTATACAAAGACAAATAACAAACCTGGAATTAGGATGAAGTAATAAGATTCAATTACTTTTTTAATACAATTTTGTTACTAATATGCACCGATCATGCATAATTAGGTAAATTTTTTAATATAGGCCGGGCGTAGTGGCTCATGCCTGTAATCCTAGCACTCTGGGAAGCCAAGGCGGGCGGAATCCTGAGGTCAGGAGTTCGAAACCAGCCTGAGCAAGAGCAAGACACCATCTCTACTATAAATAGAAAGAAATTAATTGGCCAACTAATATACATAGAAAAAATTAGCCGGGCATGATGGCACATGCCTATAGTCCCAGCTACTCGAGAGGCTGAGGCAGTAGAATTGCTTGAGCCCAGGAGTTTGAGGTTGCTATGAGCTAGGCTGATGCCACAGCACTCACTCTAGCCTGAGCAACAAAGAGAGACTGTGTCTAAAAAAAAAATGGAGGCACCCTGTATTTTTTTCCCTTTAGGTAATAATAGGATGAAGCCAAAGGAAGATTTTCAAAATGAGTTATATTCTATAGCCCAGAGTTCAGGCTTTCTATAATTTAAGAGAATGAGGATCATACACTAATATCCACTTAAAAGTAAAGAAATTTCCTACTCCTGTACAAGCAGTAAAGGGATCACTTCTTCCTCTACTTGCCATGCATGCATAGCTCCTTTCTCTCTGTCCATGTCATCCTTCTCCAGGTGTTCAAGCATCAACCTAGAGGCAGTAAACCAAGGCACCAGGGGAGTTTGCTATATTTGGAAATTTGGAGAAACGGACTCCAACAAAAGTCACCTTCCATCTGCATTAACTCTTCTTAAACCCTATGTCTCTATTCTTTCCCATTTGAAACAACTTAAGTCTACAACAGTTATTCATACTCAACTGGTTCCAAAATAAACAGGAGAAATAGAGAACCACAAAAAAGTTTTAGAAGACATCAAATGGACTGAGAAACATGATAAATATGCCTTGGGGAAATGCAATCAAATCACATGTCACAAAAAAAGTGAAAGAGAGGAAATCTAAGATTTCCAAAATATTTTACTTTCACTGATTTCAATATAGCAAATTAGGAAACACCTTGAGAACCAGCACCTAGCAGTGTCACCTTGTTCTGTCCTGACACCTGTGGAGATTCCAAGCACATGCTCCATACTGTTAGTGAAGCAAACCTGAAACCTAGTGTTGTCACTCCTTAGTTGAAAAATCCTTTGATGGCTTCCCACACCTGAAGAATAAAGCTTAAATCACTCTGCATAGTTTTGAAAGGTCTCAAAAGTCTGGCTCTAATTTGCCTTTCTCTTATTTTCTAAATCCATCACTACAGACACACTCCACACTTCCATCTCCATACTGTGTAAGTTATCTCCTCAGCTTTGACCGTCATCCTGTTCAACACCTGTTGAAATTCTATTTCTCCTTCAAAGTACCAAGATAGTGGTAAGAGCCCAGTCTTTAAGTCCAGATCCAGACCACTAGAATTCCACTAGAATTGAGCAAATACATCAATAGATCTGCTTCCTTACCTGGGAGCAGGCAAACCACCTATGGTACTTCACATGGCTACTGTAAGGATTAAGCATAATAGTTGTAAATTATTTAATACCATGCCTAAGACATAGTAGACACTTAACTGTAACTACTAAGCCATCCTTATCCCCTACATCAACACTCCTACCCTTCCCTAAGCTCCCCACAGCACTTTTTTTTTTTTTAAATCATATTACACTAAAAGCACTAGTATCTTGCAGAATACTCAATATTCATCTATGTACCTGGCTTCTCCATCAGATTAGACAAGATGGTTACGGATGAGGATTTCTAAATCTCTACTTCCTATAAGCGCAAGTTATATGACCTCTCAGAACCCGTTTCTTCATTAATAAAATGAACAAAAGTTAATCCTTTACAGTGTTATATAAAGAAGTTTGAAAGAGTTCATCTATATCAACTGCCTGGCATAAATGCTTAACACCTAGTAAGCTTTAAACAATGTTTTATTTTTTTCTGAGACAGAGTCTCACTGTGTTGCCTGGGCTAGAGTGCCATGGTGTCAGCCTAGCTCACAGCAACCTCAAACTCCTGGGCTCAAGCGATCCTTCTGTCTCAGCCTCCCGAGTAGCTGGGACTACAGGCATGCACCACCATGCCGGCTAATTTTCTCTATATAAATTTTTAGTTGGCCAATTAATTTCTTTCTATTTTTAGTAGAGACGGGGTCTTGATCCACCTGCTTTGACCTCCTAGAGTGCTAGGATTACAGGCATGAGCCACCACGCCTATCCTTAGACGATGCTTAATGGCAAATCTAGATGATGAATCTGATCCAGCAATTCCTTCTAGAACACAAAAATGTAAAATTCATTTCCCTCAATAAATCCAATTTCATAAAGCAATGTTAATACAACTTGAACCTGCTGCCCACCTCTCTTCAAATATAGACATCCACGGAAGACAAAAACGGAGATTCCTATGCACTGTTACCTGAGAAATGCTATCACATATTCATACTCAGGTACTTCCAGTACAGGACTAAGGACATCATGATTTATAATTCAAATCATTTTATTACACTTAAACAACATAGTGGCTTACTTCCGAAGAGTTTTAAGGATGAAATAATCTGCTGAAGTTAAACAAAACTCTGAAATTGGTCATCTGCCAGGAATTGGAAGCTGGCTGCCTGCTGTTTACTCATTCTTTAATTCTAATTTGCTATGTCATCAATTTTCTCTACTAAAAACTCCAATCAAATGTCCACTAGGTCCATGACAGCATTTTTCCATTTATATACTTTCAACTCATTGATCAATTTAAGAGAAGGGGAAAAAAGCACTTTGAAATTATAGTGAAATCTAATCAAGGAAATTACAGAAAAGAGAGAATTTGCCAAAAAAAAAAAAATCAGATTATCACAGCATTGTATTCTACCCTCAGCTGTACACTTATCTAAGTTATGCAGCACATATGTCAAAAACCTGGGAAAGGTTCTAGAAAGATGGATCTGGCTTTAAATCTGACAGGCTTATTTCTTTCTTTCTTTTTTTTTGAGAGAGAGTCTCGCTCTGTTGTCCAGGCTAGAGTGCTATGGCATCAGCCTAGCTCACAGCAACCTCAGACTCCTGGGCTCAAGCAATCCTCCTGCCTCAGCCTGCCTCAGCCTCCCCAGTAGCTGGGACTACAGGCATGCGCCACCACGCCCGACTAATTTTTTCTATATAATTTTAGTTGTCCAGCCAATTTCTTTCTATTTTTAGTAGAGACGGGGTCTCGCTCTTGCTCAGGCTGGTCTCCAACTCCTGAGCTCACGCGATCCTCCCGCCTGGGCCTCCCAGAGTGCTAGGATTACAGGCGTGAATCACTGCGCCCAGCCTGACAGGCTTATTTCTTAAGCCTGACATCCTTCATCTGTAAAATAGGGATCATAACAGCATGAACCTCTTAGGGTTGTTGTTGAGTATAAACGAGATTATGTATGCTAAGCGTTTGGCAAAGTACTTACAATATCTTAAATGGTAGATGGGATTCTACCTACCAGTGCTTGAGCACTAAGGTTCTTCAGATATACTGCTAAATAAATGTGTATTTAGCACATTTTACACAGTTTACAAAGCCCTTCTGACATCCATAAGCTCACTGGATCTCCAGGACATCCTCAGGGAGTAGACATTTTCAAGACACTCATTTCGGAAATAAGGAAACTGTTAACAAAATGTCAAAGTGGCCCACCCTAGTGGTCTCCTCCAACAAGATTCTCCAGCCCAGTGGTTGGTGCCAAATGTTCTTAACACAACATCCTGCATAAACATAACATTCCCGCAAGTTACCACCCTCCTCAAGTATAATCAAGCACCGGAGCCCAGGGATAAACCCAAAGTAATATACCCCGTAGGAAGCCACCGATGATACCTATATAAGCGTGCATTGTCTCCTCACACGGTGTCCTCCCACAGCTGTAGGGCTGGGACCAGGACTGCGGGTAGGTGCTCCCTCCCCCACGCCAGACACCCAACACGAGACCGGGTACCCGAGTGGCTCTCAGTAAGTGTTGGTGGAAATGGTACAGGAGGCTTCCCAAGGGCTCGAACTGACGCTAAGCCCGCAGCGGGGATTAAGCATCTCCATCTCCGGCAGATAAAGTCATTGGGCGGAGAGTCCGACTAGTAACCGAGCTGGGAAGGATGGCTGAGGACTGACGCCGCCAAAGGAAACCAGGGAAGCTGACCCGCGGAGGCTACCCGCACAGGGGCACAGAGTAGGCGGCTCAGGCCGCAGCGATGCCTGGACGGCTAGTTGCCAACAGCGGCTCAGGGGCCGGGGGAATCAGGGCAGTTGGCGTCTGGGGGGAGGGGGTCGCCCGCTGGTCTGGGAAAGATCCAGGCCCAATCCGAGGAGGGTTCTGCGCTTCTGTAGGGGCCCACCCCCTATCCTGCGGCGGCACTTGCTGCACCGAGTATTCGCTGCTACCTGAAACTGCAGCAGCTTCTCTGTCTGCTCCTGGGTTAGATCCCGCTCCTCAGGCGCCGCCATTTTGCCGCCGCCTCTACGCTCCTGACCCGTCCGCACCGTCACCCGCCGGAACTGACGTCAGCCGCAACCACATCCGGTCTGAACGACCGCCGGCCAGCAACTGCGTCTGCGCGCGCGCAGGCCCACTCTCTCCGAAGCCTGCCGTCAGGGGGCCGATCCCGAACACTTCCGGAAAGTGCCGAGGAACTGTCGGTACGCGTCGCCCTTACCAATTAGGCGACGGACGGATCCACCGGAGAGACCTGAGACTCAGGACGAGATCGCAGAGCCGAGAGGGTCCGGAAGTGTCTCGAGAAGCTCCGGAATGTACCGAATGGCACTCGGCTGATTTCGGCTGTCCCTAGACCATTTTTCCGGTAACCTCCGATATTCCTCAGGGTTTCACAGGAGAAACTGTGGCGGTTCCGACATATCGGCCGTTGGATGTTCCTAAGTTCCCAAAAACTCCCGCCCATCTCTCGGGAGGTTCCGAAAGTGCCCGAATGCCGGTGAGGCACGTCCCTACGCCGCCCTCGAACCGGAAGCTGAGGGAAGGCTCTGGCTGCATTTAGATTACCGCGTCAAGGTCACCTGCTGGGAAAGCCTGGGCGCGGCTCCCGGGGTCTTTGGAGGTTTGGGCGCTTCCAGGCTTGCGCGGAGCTCTCCGTGCACCGGGATCCGGAGGCTCCGGTTGGGGTTCTAGATGCCACCTTGCAAAGCGCTGGGCACCCCTGGGCAGCCCGCTCGGGCTCCGTTCTCCATTGGCGAATGGAACTCCCCAGCGGCCCCGACCCGCCGCCTCTGCGCCTTCTCCAGGGAGGCTGTCCCCCTTCCCTTGTCCACATTGTTATTTCCCCCCGTCTTACCACCAGTCCTCAATCTCTGCCTTCCTCTGCACTTCCCTTGCCCCTTCTAAGTCTGCCACTTCCCTTTATTTATTTATTTTTTTTTTTTTAAGGCCATAAGTAAGAGACGAACCACTTCCCTTTAGAGCCCTTTTTCACTTCCACTGCTGTCATCTGCCTCCTCTGTCCGCTTTCCAGAAGGCCTTGGAGAGGGAGAGAGATCTGGGTCTGGAACCTGCTTTCCCACTGACTGTCTGTGACTCCCACCCACTGTCCAGCGTGGTCCCCATCTGTGGAATCCCCACCCCAGGCCACTTCATAGGGTTGATCTGGGGGAGACAGGAAGACAGGAAGGGCCTTGAAAACTGAAGTTCTGTGACCATTTGTGGTTTCTGCCTTTTAGCAGTAGCTGAGGGTTTCCATATATAAGATCAGCATTTCTGGAATTGCCCATTATTTTAAGAGCACCCATATTCTCATCACAAAAGATGATAAGCATCTTGACTGCTGAGTAAAGCAGACCATTGAGATATCAGCAGCAGTTTTTATTTGTTTGTTTGTTTCTGCCCTCCTGCCCCATCAAGTTATTCATTATAGATTAAATGGGGCCAATAGGAATTAAGGTGACTCAACTAGATTCAGCCAAAAAAGTAAGAGAAGGAGTGAGAAAGGTAATACCTGTACCCGATAGCATATTATAGATCCTCAGGCTTCTGATAAGAATATCTGGACTGATGAAACAAGTTAGGCTTGGAGACAAAGTTTTACTTTATGAAAGTCAACTAAGTACCTCTCATGTTCTCAGGGAGACCTGGCTACAAACTGGGATGTCACCATTCATGGGTTGGCTGTGTGACTTTGGCAAGTTCGTTAATTTTCCTGAGCCTCAGTTTGCTCATCTCTCAAGTGTGAATGTACTAATACTACACCTATCTCACAGGGTTGTGGCAGGGATTAAATCAGAGAGGATATGAGAAGTTTATGTCCTAATCACAGGCACCTTGCGGACTTGTTGAGAGGATCAAATGAAATAATGACTTGATTCTGATACAACCTTTCCTAAAAAGAAAAAAAATAATAATAATGACTTGAGGGAAGGCTTTGCTATTGCTAAAGCCCTTCACAGAAGTTAGTTTTTGCTACAGATTCATTCAACATGTGTCTGTTACTGTCTACTAATTCATTCTGGGTGTGACCTTGCCTCAGGCATCTCGTCTGACAGAAAGTCAACTGCAGTGGCAGGTGGGAAGTGGCAGAGACCTCAGGCCAGAGGTATGTGGCTGCTAATAGACTGTGTCAGTATCCTTAACTCCCTATCTCATCTCTCACCTGGACCACCACAGTTATCACCTACCTGATTTCCGTGATTTTACTCTTGTCCAGTGCAGTCTCATCACACCTGCCGGACAATCTTCTTAAAAAGCAAATCAGACCCTATCATGCCCCTGCTGAAAACCTTCTGTTGGCTGCTACTGACCTTAGAATAGAATTCAAGCTCCTTACTGTGGTCTAAGATGCCCTATGTGATCTGGCCTTATTGCTTCTCCCACCTCATTAGTGCCAAGTCATGACTTCAAGGCTTCACCTCTTTATTCTCATGAATACCTTTGGGACTTTATGGTTGCGGGACCCTCTGCCTGGAACACTCTTTCTTTGAGCCCTCACATGGCTGGCCCTGTTGACATTCAGATCTCAGTACAAGAGTAATGCATTCTTGGCCAGGAGCGGTGGCTCACACCTGTAATACTAGCACTCTGGGAGGCCGAGGCGGGCGGATTGCTCCAGGTCAGGAGTTCGAAACCAGCCTGAGCAAGAGTGAGACCCCGTCTCTACTAAAAATAGAAAGAAATTAATTGGCCAACTAATATATACAGAAAAAAATTAGCCAGGCATGGTGGCCCCAGCTACTCGGGAGACTGAGGCAGCAGGATTGCTTGAGCCCAGGAGTTTGAGGTTGCTGTGAGCTAGGCTGACGCCACAGCACTCACTCTAGCCTGGGCAACAGAAAAAAAAAAAAAAAAGTTCTGTTTATAAAAAGTACATGATTTGTCAGCTGTGAACAAGTTCAAACAACACCTCAGTTGGCAGAATGGGGAAGAAAAAAAAGTAAGAGACCTATTTACAGACAGTGCAAATAATCCATTTTCATTTACATTGTCCCCACAATCTTAGTTTCTACCTGGTTGTGGGGAGGGCATGTTTCCCAGAGGACTTAGTGTGGGTTCAACTGAATTGGGTGCTGCAGTTACCATCTATGCACTTTGAGCTTCTTGAGCCATGACCCACAGGTGGAAGTGCTGCCCTTCCAACAAGGTAATCCCCCTGATAGGGTTGCTGTTACACACTGTGGTGTCAGAAGGTGTATGTCTGGATCCCAGGTGATTCCCTGGCACTTCCATACCCAGTAATAACAAAAAATCAGCAATTGCAACAACCACAACCTGACAAGTGCAAGATAACTAAAGGCTTAGACCCTTCAGAAATAAAAGCATGGATCCCCCCACTGGGAAGCAGTCAGGCCAACCAAAGTATTAGGTGAGGGTGAGGGAACTCTAGAATGAGTAGTAGAGGAAGGAGATGATACGATTATGGATTACAGCCTTGGGACCCGTTGCAGTTGCCGAGAACTGTGGTTTGTTTCACTACTTCACTGGCCTTAAGTCTACAGAGATGTGGCTGGCTACTGCATTAAAGGTAATTTTTGTGAATCATTGTACTTGTGCCTTTCCTCTTAGAAGGAATGCAGGCCTTTTGTTATCACAATAGTGGACGACCCCTATTAATAGTATGGGACTAGGTATGGGAGGCAGGGAGCAGCACAAGGGAGGTAATGTCTCAAACATTGCTTACGTTCCACCTCAGATCTCTGCAGTCTTACCTGTCTCGAAGGCCGTTGGTAATTTGTTTCACCCTAAGCCACCTCTGTGGTGACCAACTCTACTTGGATGGATGTTGGGGACTGACATTATACTTTCCTGGTTTAAGAATTAAGCTGGGTGTGGTGGCTCACGCCTGTAATCCTAGCACTCTGGGAGGCCGAGGCGGGCAGATAGCTCAAGGTCAGGGGTTTGAAACCAGCCTGAGCGAGACCTCGTCTCCACCAAAAATAGAAAGAAATTAATTGACCAACTAAAAATATATATACCCAAAAAAATTAGCCAGACATGGTGGCTCATGCCTGTAGTCCCAGCTCTGCCCACCTCCGCCTCCCAGAGTGAGGATTACAGGCAAGAGCCACCGTGCCCGGCCTATAAACAGAACTTTTTAAAAAGAGCAATAAAACATCTCTGCCTTAAAGTCACCTATTATCAGCATTCCTTACTCAATCACCCAAAACTGTGGTGATCCTTCTTTTGTCTTCTGAGATGCTCTAATAAAAGCCCATCTCTTAGTATCCCACAGGCAGTAGCTTATTCCCCAATTTAGTTCCCCTGGCTTTACTCCCATAAAGGAGAGACTAAGGCAGAAGGATCACTTGAGCCCAGGAGATTGAGGTTGTTGTGAGCTAGGCTGACGCCACGGCACTCATTCTAGCCTGGGCAACAAACTGAGACTCTGTCTCAAAAAAAAAAAAAAAAAGAATTGAATTTAGTGAGTAATGTACATGCTCTGCCCAGAGCATTTGAGAGTTATGTTTTCCAGACAGGGTCCTTGTGACAAACAAGGTTGCCGCCTAGAGGCATAACAACCTGAGTTTCTGCAAAAAGGCAAGAGCTGCCTAGTGCCACGTTAATAGGGGCCTGGAGGCCATATGATAAGCACATTTTTCCTATTATTGTTACTTGGCCCTGTAAGATGGCTGGATAGTCAATGACGGGTAAGATTCCTCAAGGAGGAACAACCTAAGACAGACACAGCTGCCAGGGGCCAGCCAGGAGGAACTGGCGACAGAAAGTGCCCCCATGGCTGCCTTGCTTAACCTTTGCTTATCTCAGCCTGTGATCTATGCCTGGCGCCTCGAGCAACTGCCTGGAAACCTACATGTTCCGGAATGTATGGCCATTGCTGTAATGCCTGGATGGTCATGTACAAGGAAGTAACTTCAATTTTTTAGGGTATAAAAATAAAACAACTGGTGCATTCAGCACTGCAGTCTTGTACCGTCTTTGTGTGTGACTGTGTCTTTCTTTTTGTGTCTCTTTGTTCTGTGTTCATCCCCCATCCTGCAAACGGGCCACGGTAGATGGATCCTGCTCAGCTACCAGCATGGTGACCAACTCTACATGGACCCAACACAACAGCTTCTCACCTCATGCACTTACCACAAGCCTCCTGCCTCCCACCCTAGGGCTTTCCAATTGCTACTGAAGCATTAGACACTATAGACATTGCCTACGCTTACCTAACGCAGAA